TGAGGGCAGCTACTGAGTTCCTGTGCTATCTTCCTTGTTTCCAAGGACCTTGGGGACCTGTCCTGGGAAGCAGGAGCACTTAGGAGATCAAGAGCTTTTATACAGAACCAAATGATTTGAGTTGCTGTTTTTCTGTCACTTGTGGCATTCTTGCTGTGTTTAATGAACTAAATCAGCTGCTAAGAAATGGTTCTGTCTATTCAATACTTGACAAATAAGCTGCTGCGAATTGGTTTGGTTTTGTTTCATTCAGAGTTTGCATCCTTTTCTGCAACCCAGGAAGCAAAGCACAAGGTGTTACCAGGCAGAAACTAGTGGAGAAACTAGTTGGTGAATTTAAGTAAAAAAAAGGGGGGGGAATAGGTTATAAAACCCTCTGGTGTCTGGTGGATTTTTTCACTTAGGTATTTCAGCCTAATGTGCTTTTAGTGGAAAGGTTCCAAAATGTACAACCAGGAAAAAGAGAAGGGGGGGGGGGGGGAATTCCCAGGCAAAATAACTAGAGGTAAATTCAGTGTTTTTCCACTCCAGTGACCACAACCTTTGGTTTTATTCTGGTGCAAACAGCTGCAGGTGCCTCAAGTCAGGCAGTTCTATCTCTCTGCAATGTCATCCATGTTTACTTGCAGCACTGGACTTTCGATTCTGTCAGGATGCCAATCCAACGGGCCGCCAGGCACTGCAGCTGACAGTCAAATCTGTAATGCTGAATCCTTCTTCTGGAAAAAAGGGCTAAAGAGGTTAATACACTCAAGTAAGGATAAACACACCAGCTGTTATAGTTTCTAATATTTAATGTCATTATCAAATAAAATAACTCCTAAGAAAGAAAAAATACACAGCCTCCAAATCACCCATTTTTGTTAGTATTAATAAATTATCCGAAAAGCCTACACTATAAAATAATAAGATAGAGCCTACAATTAAAGTCATATTTGCTCTTCTGCTCTGCTGATGTTGCTCTGTGCTGATTCTGTTACCTTTTGGTGTTTCATCAATACTGGTATCATGCGCTGCACTGGATCTATAAGGATAATCAGGGATGGATTATTGGCATGTAAAGGAGTATAATTTTCTCCTTTTTATTTTCAAGGTGCTTGTTGAAATATTTTATTTACCTCGATAGAATTATTTAGAGATTTCCTTGCTCTTACAAAAATCTGCTTAGGATCAAAAGAATAGTAAGTCCTGAAACGACGAGAGCACTTCTCTGTGTGTTTGTGTGTGAAACCTCAACGGACACCCTCCAGAAGTCATTATAGGGGCTAAATACTTTTTAGAGTCAGGAAGTGAATATACATTTTCCTCCCATCATTACAGCTACAGCTTCTACTGCTGTTTGTCAGTGTGGATTAAGCAGGGGATAACTTGAACACATTCAGAGAGGTTGAGAAATACACACAAGCACACAATGGAAGAGTCTTCACAGCCTGCAAAACAGCCTGCAATGAGCTCGGCTTCTAGTTTATGATCTATGTTAAAGCAAGACACACTCAGTGCCTTGTACTTAAAGGTCTATGACCAATTCCATAAAAATCCTGGAATTTTAGGATTTATTACTCAGCCATTTCCCATTGCATCAGGGTGAAGCTTGTCATCCAGTTGCCCTTATATTTTAGTTTTACAAGATTTGATGGAAATGCATTTCTTTGGTTATCGCTTAACTGTGGGCAAAGACATAGAGCTGGTAGGGACTTTGGGGTATGACTTTGTCAGTAAAGGCAGTGCCGCTGCTCAGCGAGGGATCACTGCTCTCACCAGCCACGTTGAGGCACAAAAGGAGATATTTACCCTCATTGTGTACCTCTCCAAACCCATCTTAAGTGTGACTAATATTCTTTTCCTGGTCTTCTCTATACAGGTGCATTTATTTCCTGCACTGTACTTTTTAGCAAAGCATGAATTATGGAAAAATAGGGTGTTGTGGTTTTTTTTTCCTACCAGTGTAAATACCAGGTGTAAGGCAGAGCTGGCTGAACCACAGAAACTCCTCCTCATGAAAAAACAAGAGTTTAGAAATTATCCTTCTCTTTTCTCACCACAAAGTGTGAGATTTTTAATTTTGCTTTTAAAACTTTAATTTTTATTTTCTGCTGGGAAATACCAGGAAAAAAAACCAAACAACAACAAAAAACCCCACCAAAAATAAACCAAACAAAAGACAAACCAACCCCCCACAAACCCCAAACCAACCCCCAAAATCACAAACTGGAATTTCTTGGGGCTTGCCAGCTGCCTGCTGAAAAGGGAGAGCGGCAGGAGCCTCGTCGGCAGGCTGCTGCAGGCTGGCCACCCCATTCCTGCTTCTCCTCCTCCTCCTCCTTGCCTTCCCCCTAGCCTGGCTGCTGGGGAGGCAGCTGGGCTGCAGGGCCGGCAGAGCGCCAGGGCACTCAACCTCCCCTCCTCCCTCTTCCAGACCTGCTGCATCTCCCCAGCTGCCTGCCTGGAAGACTATTGTCAATTTTGCTCTCTCCCTGCAGACGACAACAAAATCGACAGGGCCCTTCCAGCCAAAGCCGCCACGGAGCCATCCGTTTGCATTTTTCCTAATAGGAAATCAGAAATTTCTGGCAAAACTGAAATTTGCCCATAAAAGAAATCCTGGGTTTGTAAAAGGCATATTTCTCTTCCCCCATCACCCTATACCACCACCCCCCCCCCCCCCCCCCGAAAGTCATTCCAACAGAACATTCCCAGCTGCTGTAGTTTGAGAGACCTTTGAATTAAAGTCTATAGAAAAAAGCCACTCGTGAGCCTGGCTGTGAAATAAGGGCGGGTGAATGGAGTCAAATGCAAATAGAGAACCGATGCGCAGGGTCCCACCACCTGAGGCTGAAGCCCAGGGTATTTACATGACCTTAAGGGAGCTATACGGGATCGTATCTTTACTGTGAAGTACTAGAGATGATAATTAAGACTTACATAGCAAGGTTATGTCTCTTTTGAATAAATTACACAGGTCTGAGCTCTCCTGAGAATAATTCCCAGCTTGCAATTACTACCAAACTGGTTCAGAAAAGTATTCAAGCTTTTGTGGCCTCATCAACACTGAAACCTTTTCAGCAGCGGCACATCAGACACCGCGAGGGAGAGGGGAAAAAGTGGGATTTCACTCAGAGTAGTGCTACAAAGTCACCTTTGTCTCTGTTTCATATGCGTGCTGTTGGGGGCGATTCTCCTGGTGGTAGAATGATCCATAGCTTCTGCCTGTATCATCCGTGTCCATGGATTTTGGAGGAGAGAGGCCGCAGGGCCAGCAGTGTTGAGGAGCCTTGATGCATGACCTGAGCACACCTTCCTAAGGGGTGTGAGATGAAAAGGTGCAGGTGGTCATGACCAGTGTCCTGTGCTGTCTCCCAGTCTGTGCTGAGCACATCGCCCTTCCTTCCAGATGCAGGAGTACAGATTTGACTGGGAAACACTTCTGATTTTATGGTTTTCACCTTGCTTGGGTCAAACACCAGCTCCTGCTTTCTAGAGGAGCAGGGGGACCCGTGCCCGAGGATCCAGGTTGACAGCACCTGAATAGGGTGGTAGAAGCAGTTGTGAAAGTAGTTCCTTGTGATCCGACACTACCTTTCTCGCAGTGACCTTGTAGCAGCAGTGAGAAGCAGATAGCAGTCTCCACTCAAGCAAACCTCCCACTGAAGTCATCTGGAGCTTTATGAACAAGAGCTGTAAGAGGGTCAAATGTAGGAGTGCGAGGCGTTGTGCAGGCTCTTTGCAGCAGGTGAGTTGTCATGGAACAACGCAGGAGCCTTTTACACAGTCTGGAAATGTTTTTGCAAGTAAAACACTATTAAACGATCAAAACACAACACAAAACAGGTTTATTGGATGATCAAATGTGTATAAACACAGTCAAACCCAGAGCAAACCCATGGAGCTGCGGTGAGGTGAAGCCCCCATGCGTGGCTCCCAGCAGGCAGAATGCTCTGCCTTAGGGCTGCAGGATCAGCCCCCCGTGGTGCCTACACATTGTATTGATTACGCCCCTCCTGAGACACTTGTAACAGGGAGGCACAGCAGGGCGGGTTGAAGGATGGAGTGGCAGCTCTCTTTCGGAGCACGCTAGCCTTTGCAGATATAAATCAAGCCCTTTACTCACATGTAAATATTTGCAATTCATTCCGGCTAGTTTTGTTTTCAAATGTTCATTAAAACTTTTCTCCCCTTTATTTTATTCATCTCGATCGGTCTTTGGCCAAGCTCTCTCACAAAGTGCTGAAATTTGCCCTTGAGGCATCAGATGGAGTAGTCAGATTGTCAAATACGTCTCCTAATTGAAGTTAACGCTGGCACAATATTTGTCTTTTGAAAATAAACATTGCCAGCAAAGTTGCGGGTCCACCACTCTGTGTGCGCTCTGACAGCGCTGCGGAGCCGTGGACGGGATGGCAAAAGGGGGAATTTGATATGAGGAATAGCTCAGAAACGAGTCTGTTAGCATATTGTTTCAGTGAAATGCCAGACCTGCTAGAGTTTATCAAAACAAAACCAGCAATAGCTGCTTTTTGTTTTGAAGTCACACTATAGCAGGTACAAGGAAGAAATACCTCTCTTTAAGCAATGTATTTGCATTTTTATATCTTAAAGGGTCAGAAACAGACATGGGAAATCAATAGCTCTCCTTGCACTGCATGAAATGAATCAGTAACTTTGGAAACACTGCACTGAAGAAAACAAACTGAATGAACAGCACATGGCTTTTAAAGACATCCTCATGTGACATTCCTGGTGGGTTTGGGGTGATAAAGGACTGAGTATTTTCCAGCACAGCGCCTGCAAGAAAACCAAACCAGAACACAAGGCAAAGCACCATTTGACAATGCCCACTCCAAGATGAACTGGGAAGTGTGTGTTAGCGCAGCCATAAGAAACCTGATAGTGTATTGTGCCTATTAACCATCTGTGAGGGAAAAGGTCATAGACCTGGGTTTTGCCACTCACCTGGAGTGCCGTCTTACCTGGCTATCACAGATCTGACAGCTGGCTTCAGCAAGTGCTTCAAATCACTGCTCCTGGAACACATGCCCAGCTTGAGTGGAAATGGGACATGTGCTTTTGGGATGTGCTGAGACTTCTGTAGGCCACTCCAGTGACCAGATTGGACCACTTCAGGTACCAAGTGATGTATAAATGTAGCAGAACGTGCCACGTAGTAAAACCTCTACTGCCTGGGTTTCCCTTTTTCCTGTTCATACAATTTACAATTAAAATGCTGGGAGCTATTTGCTGTGTGCTGTTATTTTGAGTAAGAATCTTCCAGGATCAGTTCATCATAAATGCAGAAACCATGCTCCATAATAACTGGTTAGGTATGCCACCTGATCCTGTCCAAGCTCCCGAGCTATTTGGTTTTATGTAACAAATCCAGAAGTGATATAGGGGTGTGCAGCATTTGCTATTCAGGTTCACATGATTGGCAGGTCTCCGAAATCACAGTAGGTGATAATTCAGATACCTGAGCTGAAAATTCTACTTCATTGACAGTCAGAGGGCTATTAGGCAAACTGAAGCCATTAACAACAGGTGATCAGACAACCAGCTGCCATCAGACTGTGTCCTGTCTAGGAAGCAACCTGGGTACTCTGCCTGCATCTCCTTAGACCCTGTGCTAGGTAATCCCATTCCCAACCTGAACTAATCCAAATGGTCTAAGAGTCCAAGTGAAACAGCTTGGTTTGAAATGACTGTATACAACAACTGTAATTGTGAAGCATACATGGTGATGGTGGGGTGTCCTTGGTGCATCTCCTGCTACTCAGGGGGTGCAGCTGCTCCATGCCCTAATGGTTTCAACACAGAGCTGCTCCAAAGATACCATTGATAATCCATGTGCAAACAGGGCCTGAAAAGGCCCCAGGCAAGCCTGGACTACAGTGGAAGAGAGTAGGAAGATGATGTAAAGTTGTCTGTGTCCCTCAGTCTCCCCAGTCAAAGAACCCTTGAGAACTGAGTGCTCTTGCACATGCTACAGTAAGGACAGAGCGCTCGGAACAAGGATGAGTGACTCTGAGCCATGTGAAGGCCTGGAAGCTTCATTAAAGCACTACTACCCTAACGGGGCTCCCACTGATAAATGAAACCTGCTGACTTTGAGATGAGCAGAATGAGGCTTTTGCATCAATGTATACAAAACAGGGATTGCCCGATGGGAAGTGAAGACCCACTGATAGCACAGGAGCAATAAAGAGCTGATCCTACCTCCATTAACTTTATTGGGAGTAGAACAAAAATATTTAAGTGGAGACTGGCATATCACATCTATCTAATCTAAAGTATCTCAGGATTTATGTTATGATATCAGCCCTGAGACAGACAGATGAAATATTGCTCCTACTACATTTAATTTATAATCTTCATCTCACTAAACCTGCACCTACCTATGGTCCCCATTACCAAAGTAGCTGAGTGGCTGCCAAGCACTTAGACATATAAATAAAACAGCAGAGACTATTTTGTTCTCTGCCTTCCTGCTTTTCCTGTAGTTTGTAAGATGCCCTGCAAGGTTTGCTCTTGTTCTGTTTAAGGTTTTGTGCATAAGTGGATGGAACCAGAAATCTTTGGGTTGGTTTTAAATTTCTGAGGGAAAACAGATATGCCACAAAAGAGGTGCACATTTATTTTGGAATAGATTGAGATCAATTGCTATCAAAAGGATAAGAGCAAGTAGCAGAATCTAGCTTCAGGAGCTGTGAGAATTCCATTGCATAAGCTCACCAACTTCCCCTGTTGGTTCACAATCCAGACTGTTCCCACCAAACGTCATGGGAGGTCATGTTGGTGGAAGGAGGGATCTCAGAAAGCAAAGTCCAATATCCTGGATGGCTTTGACTATTAAGACAGACATACCTGGCATACCAAAGGAATTTGTGTAACTGAGTAAATGGGATGCTGTGTTTGGAAGTTTCCAGAGCTTTCACACGGCTCGTGCCTTTATCCCTAGATGTGATAAACAGCCATGGCAGAACTCCAAAGTGAAACAGTGCAGAGGTGTCCAGTCCATGTCTCATGGAGGTGGCTGTATGCTTTTGACTGTCAGCTACAGACAGAAAGTTGATCACCAAGGACAGTAAAGATGTGCACTTCCCCTCTTTATAACCACATCCCTCCAGCCCTGAGCAGGCAGTGCTGCAGTGACCAGCTCTTCAGAGAGGTGCTCTCAGGGCACATGGTGGTGGTTGTGGCTGGAACAAGACATCCAGTACCAAAGTTACCACTTCTCTGGGCCATGTTCTCAGCCTAGTTCTCATCGTGGTCCATGTTCATCATGTGGTGATCAGCAGCCGCATCTTGGGAGAGTTCAAGATGGAGCAACAGATGCTCTGAGACTGGTCCAAAAGGAGGAACACAAGACGTTTCCAAGTGAGCCCTCCAAAGCTGGACAGAACTATATTTTGTCTTTTCTCTTTCTGGCTGTTGCTAAGCTCATGAATCTCTGCCAATGGATAAACAGATAGTCCTGGACCCTTTTCATAATTGTTTCTGGATATATCCTTCCTCAATCTTATTCTGCACAAAACTTCTTGAATAGCTCATTTAAGGAGAAAACACTTGAAAAGTATATTAGCAAACTCTTTCAGTGGGGTAAAACCATCAACATGGAAAATTCAAGTTTTCAAGAGAGCCATTAAGCGTGATTAAACCTTTAAAAAGGGAGAACAATGAATGCAGCCTTGTATTTAGCAATTTCATATCTTTAATTGTACAAAGATTTTCTTTAAAAGCACAAGCCTGAAAGGAAGCTGAATGTTACAGTATTTACTGAAGGAAAGCAATGAGAGAAGGCCTGTTCACTAGCTAATGGAGTGAAGCCCAGAAATAATGACAAAAAAGCGGTAACGACTGCTCTCCAACACAACATATATAAAAGAGGGAGCCATAAAAAGGCAACAATTCTTGACTTAGCTTTGAGTTTCACAATGACTGTGATTACAGATAGCAAGTCGAAGACCATATAAGCCACGATGAAATCTAGTTGGCTTTGCGATTGAGATTCAAGTGAAAAAAGCAAAAAAGCAACAGGGACACAGAATCTGTGCAGCACAAATTTTGGATGGGGTATGAGAAATGGAAAGAAAGGAAGAAAGAGAAAGACCATCAAAAAGTTCAGCAGAAAATGAATATATTCTTGCTAGTACCATCTAATAATAAACACAGTAGTGGCCAGATCCTTAACTGAACTGAACTGGCAATGCTGGTGATTCAGCTAGTTCGCTGTTCCTGAGGATGTGAATACCACACAGTCACACACAGCCTGGCATACTTTAGCTTGTGCCATGTTGCAGCATCTTTCACACACAGAGAAAACTTTGCCTATCGGGAACTAGAATAAAAAGGAAAGAGGGAGGCTAAAGTAAAGCTGATTAAAGCATACAATAATTATATTTATAATACATTTAATGCTAGTTTAATTATAAGTGCTACTTTAAAGAGAAATAATTTTGAGACACTTTAAGGATGCTTGTTAATTGCCAGCTTTATTTTTCTTGATCAGTATTTTTAAAAAGCAGTGTTAAGATCTGATCTGCAATTTCATGTGTACATGGCTTTCTTCATAAATGTAATGCTAAGAATATATATGCATGTAATTTTCCATGACAGAGGTATGTTATCTACCTCAGTTGCAGCCTTAGGCACACTTTAAATTTTAGTGGGCAGCTTTCTATTGTGCTTTTCCTAAAGCTTTCCCTTTATATTTCTATAATACCTTGAAAGTGCAACTTTCAGTCATTCGTTTCTTTAGAAAACAACAAAACCAAAGTTTTTAATACTTGTGGTTCTAGAGAAATAATAAAAAAACCCTAAACAAAACAAAAAAACAACCCTGAAACATAAAGACACAAAGCCCAGAAGACAAATGGAAAGAAAAAAAGTATAGAAATTGCATAAGTATAGAAACTGCAGAAGTAGAGAAATGGCATAAGTATAGAAACTGCAACCTGATGGCCAGTGGCAGGAGAGCACCAGCCCAATATTGGTGGTCCTGGGCAGGGGCATGTAATATATGGCATGCTACAAACCCAGCAAACTCACAGGGAGGAGGATGACTGAGGTTTAATGCTGCCATATAGAAAGATTGAGCAGAACCGTATTAGCTCTGTGAGGAGTTCACCTAAACAAATGTATTGCACTTACACAGAGTAATATAAACTGTAAGCCTGTTATTTAAATTCATGACTACTTGCATGAGCAGTGAAATAAAACCAAGGAGCTGAGGAGGAATGGGGGGTAATGTACAAGTGGCAGCGTGCTGGTGGACAGAAGGACAATGAAAATGGGGACCATTTCAAAGACTACAAAAAACAGTTTGTGTGAAAAACATATGAGAAACTCTAATGCATACCATGGAACTAGCTGATTGCTGATGATGGCCATATGGGATATGTCTGATAGAGATGATCAGTGTAAAGAATCAGATGAAAATGCTGCTACAGAACAGACAGAATTGCAGACTCATTCACTGAATATTTTCCTTTGGAAGAAAGACAACCTGGTGGACAAAGACAGATACAATCCTTTCTTCAGGTCTGTATTGAATATGAAGTGGTTTGTGAGCCTGATTGATAGGTTGCTGGTAGATCTGTTGGCTTAACATGCTACCTGTCTCTCTGCAAAATCTTGCCTTATATCATGATAGTGCTCATTAGAGCATCAGGACTGTAGTAATAATGTTAATCCTCTTTGCAGTAGTAAAGTGATGGAACATATATACCCTTTAGACTAGTCTGGGTTATCCTGGGATTTCCCAGCTCTCTCTGGACCAGCATATGACTCAATGCAAAACAACCTGCTTAAACCTTGGAAGAAAGCTTTAGGCCTGCTCCAGTATTGGGCATAGCCAATGGTATTTCCTTTGCTTTGATTGTGTAAATAAGTTAAAAAGATATGATCCTGGAAAGATTATCTTGGGTTTTTTTGGCATGGTAAATGGACAACAAGCACTGAGACCAGATAATCCCAGTACTGGATTGGAGCAGGTGCCTGAAGCTGGGGGATCCTTGCTTTGGGAAATGGCCCCGCTGCTGAGACTTACCAAGTGGGCATAGCCGTTAGAAGATTCCAGCAGGAAAGGGTCCCTCCAGCATTGGCTATTAATTTTGGAACACTTACTTACATTTTCAATGAAAAAGATGGTTCAATCCTAGATTGAGGACTCCTGGTACCTCTGAAAATAACATCCAAAGTTGAGCCATGCTTCTTATTAGAAGCACTGCTAATAGCTGTAAAACGATGTACTGATATCTCCTGTAGTCACACTAGCTCTGGAACATGTTGACTGGAGGCATCATCGCAAAGCTCTTGCCTGACAAATAAAGAAGAGGACCACCCCTGTAATTTAGATTTTGCAGCCTGCCATCAATTAAGTTGTATGAAAATCACTAGTCTGAATAGAGTGTTTGTGTGGGAAAGGTGAATGAAAATGCTTACAATGCACTACGTACACTGAGGTTTTCTAATCAAGAAACAGTGCAAATACAGAGTTCCACTGTCTAAAATAAAAGCAAACTAAACCTGATTTCTCTGTGCCACAGTCCTTAACAATGGTAATAACATGCACTTAAGCAGGGTGATATTTTGTGATTACAGTGAAAAAATTACATCCTTACATAAATGAATTTATTAATTGATTTGTGAATGCTACATCCTTGACACTCCCAGGACTGTGCCCTTTTTTTCTCCCAATGAAACACTTAGGCAATTATTCTTTATGCTTAAGGGAGGAACGCCTGGGTGTACAATGGCTTCTGCATTAGTGAAGTTGCTGTGATATCGTTTGCTGTTTGCATCTACTAACTTGTGGTGACCAGAAGCCATTATTTCTAACAGATACAATGGCAACCAGGAACGTTACTCTCACAATACTGAAGAATGCAAATGCATTATCTCATGACCTCCAAGGATATGGTATGTGGCACTGCCGTTCAAAAAGTTTTGAAACTGGTTTGCAATGTATTTACGTCTACTTGGTCATAGACAATTACTCCTGTCACTCGTTTTGTTTTGACCTCCGAGGGGAATGAGTGGCTCACATACGTGATCTTTAAAAACACGTTCATATGAGGAGCAGGAGGGCTCGGAGGGAGCAGGTTGAGGAAGCATAAGAGGAATGAGCTCTTGTGGGTCAGGAGTGAAATAAAAGCTTGGTCACATGGGAAAACAGCAAACAAGGAAGCAAAGCTGTTGAAGAGATTTTTTAGCTCCCCAAGGGACAATAATAGTTAAACAAAGGTGATTTAAAAAGCATACCCCAGACCTCCACTAGCCATTCACCAGTGCTGGTCCATCGTATCTTGTCCTTGTGCAAGCTGAGCCTCTCTGGCTCAAGGAAGGTGCCTTTGCTTAAACCAAGCCTGAATTTGGCCCAGCAAAGCAAGGAAGAGAGGTGTACTAGTGGAAGAGCACAGTGAGAAGCACACACTGAAAGCCAGGGACTGCCAGGGTAAAAAATATCCCGAATGGATTAGGCCACCAAGATCATAAATGGTAACTGTGCCCCGTGTCTGCCACATGGGTGTGAGTGACCATGACTGAAACCTAGCTGAAAGCTGACATTTGCATCATTTTTTATTTCTTTTGGTTTTCTCCTCATTATCTTACTGTAATGAAATGGTAAAACCATCTCCATACCATAATTGTGCATTTCTTGTATCAGCAAGCTGGCAAACAAATTTGACCTTCAGCCTTTGTTTTATTGTTAGTTTTTTTAGGGTCACTGGAGCCCCCAGTTTCCTAGCTTTGCTTTATAATGCATTTAGAATAAAGCATTCCCAGCTTGTTTTCACCTTTGTTTTGCTCTCCCACTCACACACACACATATACAGACATGGTTCCATTTCTACTGGATCCTTCTGCTTTCTACTGGTTCCTTCTCCTGGATCTTTTATCCAAGCAAGTTTTAAAGACCCCAGATGAAGTGCTGTTTCAACATTATCACTGCAGCACAGAAAAATTCAACAGGTTGCTGCTTTTTAAGAAATGCAACCAAAATTTGAACTTTCTTACTTATTGCCTATTTGTATTCTCTGATATCTCACTGATCCCAAATCCAAAGTGCATCTTTGGCTGCCTACGGAATACCCCGGGATGACCAGTTGCCATGCAAGAGGTTGCTGTCTGCCTCCTGCTTTCCCTGATGCTCTGGAAAAGGATAAATCCTGTCATGTGGACACCTGGAACAGCACATGCTGCTGAAGGGCACAGCAGAAACTCCATCAGTGCAAGGGCAAAGGTGCTACAGCATCTCTGATGCAGCACCTCTTCATAACCTCTGCACTGGGAGAAGTATGGCATCCTGGCATTCAGGGAGTGGGGAGTAGCAAACATCTCCCATTCCCTTGCTCCTTTGAGGAAGCATATGGAGGAAGGGACCCATTTCCTGGCTGCAGAAAAGGAGCAGCTCATAGGACCAAGCGCCTGGTGGAAAGTTAGCGCACATTTCTGTGAGCAAGTGACAGAAAGGGAGTGCAAAAAGAAAATGACATGGGTTAGATCAAATGAAATCTCAATGGAAGCTCAGAGAAGTGCCATCAGGCCCTCAATCCATGCTTTCTTGAATTGCCTACTGCAGTGCCAGCTATGGGGACCATTAGAAATGCCTTCAGAGGAATGCAAAAATGAGTATGTCCATAATGACACATACATCTAAAAATAGACCCAAATCCTGGGAGATCCTCTATTGGATAGTTTCTACATCTCAGGAACAGGAGCCACACAAGTGCAGGAGCAGCCTGAGGAAGGTGGCTCCTTTGAGGCTCTTCAGGAACCCTGTCCCATGTTCAGAAAAGCTACCATTGCACAAGGCTATTAGGAGCTGTGCTGTGTCACTGGGGCTAAGAAGTACTGTCAGTCAGTATGGTTTTGGCTTAGGAAGGTATTACTAGAAAACTAGCCTTTAAGAATGGGAACAAGCTTCTGCAAAACAATTGTCATCACAGAAATTTTCTATTTCTTGTGACAACTCCCATGATATTTACCCTGCACAGAGGAGGATTAAAATACTGGGGAAAACCACTGTGAGAAACAGAAAACAGTAGCAATACTGATCCTGCAAAAGGGGAACACTTTCCCCATCTCTAAACTGCTTTTCTCATCTGATTGAAGCTGGATGCATGCACAAGAATTTAGTTGGACCAAGACTATTGTATCTGTGACACCAGGTCAGCCTGTGGCTCAGCCAGTCACTCATGCACTAAACTTGAATAGAAAGATGCTGGAAATCCCATAAAGAAACGTGCTTATAAGCAAAATGGCAGTATTTCTTTTTTCCTCACAAATTGAACATTACTTCCAGGTACAAAGGATGAATCTATCCTGTCTTGACTTTGTTTGAAACAATAGGCTTACTTTATTTGTGTTTCACCCAGTTCCACTTTGTATTTTAACAACAAAGATGTGGTTTCTACCACATTTGTGGGAACTTACCCGCTACCAGGACCCTGCCAAAATGGTCCAAGCTTGGCCACCGAATGACTAGTCATTTCCATGCCTGTGCCAAGAGACAGGCGTGTCTCACCAGCAGTGCCTGTGAGAGCTGGTGAGACTGTAATGGCTGAGAAGGAAATCATTCCCGAGGTGGCCTTAAGAAAATGATGAGAGAGGCAGGCAGTAATTTGACATGAGAAAGGATGAGAAAGCATAGGAAAGCCGGAATGGGGGCATCTGTGGCATTCAGGCAGGGCGTTTTTGTCGTCATTGGGTTTGGGGGCATTTTTAACACCCATATGGAAGGATAATGCAGTATATGGATGGCAGTGAATATAAGTGGCTTGAAAACAAAATAAACAAGCACTTGACCAAAGACACTTTGTGGATACAATTGCTAATCCAATCCAATGGAGATGGGTTTCACAAGGGCCTCCTCTTGTCCTGAAACATCTTATTCTCCTTGTTAAAAGGCATTTAAAAGCACAAAATACTTTTATTAAAAATGCTTTTCAGGGCTAAATGACGTTAAGAGCACTTTCTATAGCTTGCATTGCTATTTAGGAGAGCATGTTATTTCTTTTTAATTTGCTCACTCATTCCTGAATAACTTTTCATAGGACTCCAGACACTGCAGTGTGACAGCTAAACCAAGGAGCATCGGATGCGATGGAATTGCTCTACAAGCAACCTTGCCAAAGGCCCTTTTGCTGCACAAAGCTGGCTCTATCTTTGTATATTGAGGGAGCTAAATCAATGTTAAATGCTTGGCTCTTTTCACAGGACAATGACCAGGACCTAAGCTTCGTCCTTCCTTTTTGATTGACACTTGAAACGTTGAGTTGGAATCAGCCAGAGGCACTGCTACAAGCTTGAAGCCTCTGCTGGGGATAACAACTGGTGACATCTGCAGAAAGGCCGACAAAAGGCAGTTGAAAGCCGTGTTTGTTGCTTTCCCCTCTCAGATCTCCTCTCTTTCATGGAGCTCCTTACTTGCTTTAATATTATGATTCAGCACCTGGCTCTTTTGAACCTTGCTTTAAACTTCAAAAGGCGAGGTGGTATTAACAAACATGAAACGAAAAAGTGGCAGTAGTTTGATTTACTGTTGTCGTCTTATCAAGGGGGTTTTTTGTCACCAGCTGCCACTTTCTGTCATCTTTGGAACCATTATCATTTCTCTAAAATCTAAAAGACTCCACTTAATAACAGCTTTGAATACAGGCAGGATCAGTAACCTATACAGTTCTGGGATGACAGAACCATCAAATGAAAAGCAAGATGTTGCCAAAAAAAAAAAAAAAAAAAATCCTTTTAAAAAATAAAAAAAAACCCAAACAAAAAAACCAACCCAAAACCCAACAATAAAACAAATAAAAGCTGTAGTACTTCTAAGTGACCTTGATTTCAGAATTAAACAAATCAAGCGCAATTCCATTGTTCTTTTTGGGTACGTTCTGCACTTTCCTTGCAACATTTCTTTTTTGTTCTCAGGACTAAGGGAAAACAAAGCCAAGGCTTCCAGAAAAACTGCTCAGCACACAACAAGCACTTGGTATCACATGAGCACTGTAAGCTCCTCACTTGTAAAAGCGCCAGTGATAATTGCCAGTCTTGTTTCACTGCTGTCCTAATGCAGCAGCTTTCATTCAGCCCGAGATGGAGCCCTGAAAGCTGCTTCGCCAGGGCAGACTCACTGGTAGCAAATCTATTTAACTCTCACTTTTACAGCACTTTTCCATGTTTCTCAGCTGTCTTTCCCAGTTTCAGAACCTGAAATACCCCTGCACCTTGTCAGGTGGGTTTGCCCATCACTGCTTTCCAGGCTCAGTTAAAAGCAATCAAATAAATGCAAACAAGTTTTTGACCACAAACCTACTGTGCTTTCTTACTTGTCACCTCACTGTCCTCTATAGGAAACTCATCTTTGCCCCTTTCATTGGTTGTTTTATAATGGTATACATAATGAACTTACTTGGAAGGAGAAATACCTCCTGTTATCTTCTAAACTCATAACTCATTTGATGAACATCTGTTTACCAGCACTCACCTTTATCTTACAGAGATTTGAACTTTAACTTGTGCTTCTGTGTGTTTTGGTAGTCACTCTGTGTGTGCAAAAGAGTGAAAATTGCCAAAGGGATCCCCTCTCCTGCCCCAGCAAAGTGTTTTCCTTCCCACTAGCTATGTGCAATGCAAGGCAACAGGGAAAAGGCTGCTCCAAAAGGTTTTCCCCCAGCATCTCATTGGCCAGTCTCCCTGCCACTGCCCATCAACCCCTTTCCAGACCCTTTTCATCACAGGAATCTGTGGTAGTTTAGTTTCACCATCTCTTGCTAAAATGAGAATGAAAACAACAAAGTGAGAATCCCCTGGACTGTGAAAATGCTGATGGAAAAACACGATTGCCAGAATCCAAAGTTGATTTCTTTTGGATCGGGATATGTCAAAACTCATACAAAAATGAGACAAGGATTGCTAAAAATACCCATTATCTTCTGACGGAAGGCTCACTGTATAATCACAACGAGGTTTTCTCACAGAGCATGTCCACATTTGGAATTTTAGTCATTTTAACAAGTGTTAATTACCACATGCTAACTAGCAGAAGTGTGTGTGGGGGGAGATGTTGTATATTTATTTGCTCCAGACTTGGAACATATTAGAAAGTAGGCTCTATTCCAGTTTGCTGTCATATGAATGAATGTGTTACCCGATTACAAATGAAAGATATCACAAGAAAATGTAAGTAAGGATCTTCCTCTGATACATACTTTGATGAGGAAACTCAGAATATATTTACCATATCGAATCAAGGGGAAATCTGGGCTTGGGCCTATTAAAGGAACAGAACAAGAAACACAGGAACAGAAGCAATGTGCCTGTGTAGGGTGGAGAACAAGAGAGAGGTGGGTTTTTTCGTTTTACCCATGAAAACCAAGAAATTCTAAGAGAAAGAACATGCATGGGAAAGCATTGGTGCAACTGGATCAATGCCCCTAAAAGATTTAGGATGAATGCAGGAGAACAGCTGATGACCATATTACGTATGTACATATATACATGAATATAGATATAATCACTTGTGTAATTCAATTACTATATGGTTAGTATATTCAATCATATATATCCATAAACTTAGCAACATATATGTATTTTGAACATACAGGAGCTGAATTTCGGCTTTACAGTTTCCTTGACGGATTTTGGAAATGAGGAAAGGGAGATTGGCATTTTCTTAAGATCACTGATGACATAATGCAAGATAAATATCTGCCAGACCAAGAAAATAGAGAGCATCAGAAGAACGTGAAGGCGTAATCTCCACGTGTGATTTATACCTTTATAGTCTATAGAAATTGCTTGGGATAAATTTCCAGAACAAGATGTGCAGCATTAAAATAATCCCAGGCACTCTACCAGGAGGTGTTCAGTGCTTGCAGAACAAACCAAAAAAGGGAACTGGAGGGTTACATGGAATCTGTGATTCAAGGTGAAAACTGCTGACGTTGGAGGAATACCTTCAGAAGGAGCATCTTGCTGTGTGGAAAGAGTCACAGGACTGGATGGAAATGTCCCAGAAGCCTGCATTTACTTCTAGATTAAAAAAAACCCAACCAAGCGACCAACCAACCACCAAACAGAAGCATTACAAGGATTCAGCCAGATCCAGAAACTCTTATGTATATTTGCAAGTAGTTTAATCAACATGCAACCACAGCCAGGCAAATAGAATGAGAAAAAAGTAAGACATATAGATCTGTATGAAATAGCTTTCTACATAGTCCTCTGCATACTTGTTTTTAGGAGAAGCAGTGAATGGAGATTGTTTCTTCAGAGAGAATGAGGATGTGGATCTGTTTCAAACTCACGGCATAATATAAAGTGTTTTAGAAAGAAATTACTAGAATAAATAACCTGTAAAACTGATCAGATTGCTAGTAAATACAGTAAGGAATGTGATTAATAACTGAGTTCAAATATATATCTAAAAAGAGTTATAAATTCTTCAGAGGGAAGTCATGCACACAAACCTGCCAGAGTTTTAACAAGAGATCGCAAACTTAATAATTTGCTCATTATTTAGTGGGTTTTCAAAACTCTGTTCATAACCTTCCTCACTGTAAATTCCATTAAAAGAAATGTAAGAAACTTCTAATGTGGTTTAGTAAGCGACGAACAGATATGAAATAAAAGCTAAGAGCAAGTAGAAATCACCATTTTAATGATGGAGTCGAGGTTACCGATGTGATTTGAAGAGGACCTGGTCGCTCTGTACATCCGTTAATCATGGGGAAAAGGTGTGAACTCCGAAATAGCAATAGTTTCTGACAGAAAATATACTGGAGAGCTGCAGCAAAAGCTGACTGAAAACTGACATAGAAACTCACAAACTGAATGCTGGGGTTGGGGAAAGGCAGGTGAAATTCAGTGTTTGGTATTTATAAAGTAAACAGGAAAAAATAACTCTGAATGCACTGTTGCCATTCATGAAGGAGATCTTGGAGTTGTTATAGATGCTGTAGAATCATTCACTGAAAAACCTCAATTCAGCACTCAGTGACAGTCAGAGAGAAAAGAACAATGTAAGGAATCACTGAGGAAAGAGGTGAGATGAATGCCAGCAACATCCTGAGCTGAGAGCAGCTCTGCTCTTCTCCTCCAGAATAAAACCCACAAGTGTAGGAACAGGAAAGCTTGAGGAAGGACAACAGAGGGGAAAATAACGAAGACTCTTTTGTCCTGGAAAAAGCATAGGTTTAGAAACCTCTAAAAAGCACAAAGAAGGTGACTATGGGATAACGATGATTATCTATTCTGTCCCAGAACATAAGAACTGAGATAACCCGATGAAGTGAGAAGGCAGCAGAATCTAAAGGAATTACTTTAACATGCATCGCTCTTTTAAATTTTACAACTTATTCCCAAGTGATGCTGTAGAAGCCCAGGGTATAAATGGCTTCAAAAAGCAACCTCACAGGAAGATCTCTAAAGTGGAGACCTTTATTTATTCTTTTTTTAACAGTTATCTTTGGACAGTTAATTTGTCTTGTATAAATATACCTTTAAACATTTATGAGTGTTAATACATTAAACCGCACTGATTTTACCATCTGCAATCTTCCCTGTGTCTATATTTCAAGCAGCAATTACCCTTTCTCAAAATTTGCTTAGAGAAGTTCAGCTTTCTTCTGTATGTATGAGAATTAACTTAAGCCATCCTTTGGAAACTGGAGCTCTACCTAGCTTTGATTGGGTTGCATGGGTGATTTAAGACTCCAGTCTTCAGTAAATGAAGGGCATAAGTAGCACACTTTAAAGCTTTTTCTGACACCAGTAAGTATTTGCAGAGTTAAGTTATAAACATATTCTATAATAGCACTAAAAATTATGATGCATTTACTTTTCCAACTGCTTATGGACAGCAATGTTGTTGATACTTTTCCTTCTATATATACCGTGGTATTAACGGAGCACTAAACTGATCACCCTTCTCTCAGCATCCAGGCTGCTGCAGATGTGGCTGGGCCAGATGAAATGAAGGGTTTAGATACCACCAAGTCAGGAATTTCAAAGCCCAAGCTCACAACAGTGTATTGAGAGGTCAGTGCTCCAGGAAAATGCTCTAAAACTTCTGCTCACTGTTAATAAGAGTATGAAGCATGTGTTTGCCTGAGATCTAGTGCCATCTCTGCACCTGAATACCCCTCCTCGTTTCAAGACCTGGGTCTCACCCTAGAAATAGGCACGTTCACAGTTTTATGACAAATATCTGGCCACAAAATGCAAGATCTGTGTTCAGTGCATTGCCAAAGTCAGTTCACCTCCTCATTCTGGGAAAGGGTCCTGTGCACCAGGTTATAGGCTAATGTCAATTCGCCAGCACCCCCCCTAGGGAAAGAGTGCCAATGTGAAGAAAGGAAGGCAAGATCTGTGGGACTAGAGACAAGCAGGCATAGAAGTACATGGCTCCCCTTCCAAATGACCAAGGCTGCAGGGAAGAAGAGAGATGTTCTGGATTTGCTAACACCATTTAAGCATATAAATTCATGGGTTAAGACAACAGGAAAAATCCAAAAGACTAGCCCTGCACCTTCTGCCCCATCCTCTCCGTCATCCAACATGTCGTACCTGTTGTCATCTCTGCTCCTTTTACTGGCTCTGTGGGTGACCCCATGCACCATTTTAAGCATGGCATAAGCACCCCATCTTGAAACAAGGGAAAGAACACTAGTGTTGGTTACTCCTTCATCACTACATCATGGTGCAAGGGAACTCTTTTGGCAAGCAGATTGGATGGGCTAAATCCCAGCAGATCAGTGAGAGAACTGCAGGTTGCTGCAGAAAAGGCAGATAAGCCTGCCCAGTATGTGATCACCTGAGTAAATCTGTGAGTAGACCTGTACCACTCCCTGGGAAAGCAAGGTGACATTCTTTCCTCCTTTTTGGATGCCCATAGCTGCTGGATGTGGGCTGGGTGCCTCACTATGGAAATCAGAGCAGGTCTGCACACAGAAGAGTGGGTTGGCAGCCCTCAGGCAACCCCAAGGTGAAGCAGCAGGAAGGTTGGTATGCTCAGGTGCTTCTGAGGTGGTGTGGCAGTGGTGGTGTAGAGGTTTGTGATGCCTAAAATCTTGCTGTAGCACTTGTTTAGGTGCACATGGTCTTTGGCTTCTTCCCTAGCACTGCACTTTGGGGGTATTTAAGCTGCACTGTACCATCTATAGAAAGGTGTATGAGATGCATGTTAAACAACAGGGTCAAATAGCACAGTCAAAATCAAACAGCACTTCCTCATTTCTGGGCATTGCACATGAGTAACAACATTAGTGGGTGGTGGGTGGGGGGCTTGTTAGTGGGAGCTGCTCTGGGGTCAGCATTAGTGCCAGCCAACTTAAAGGTATCTTCTGTTTTTATTCACATCCGCTCCGTGTGGCTAATCTCACACTGAGGTGAACTCCACAGTGCGCTGAAATCATGTGTTCCATCGGGAAAACTCCCTCCTGCACGTGCTTATTCCTCCAGCTAAAAATATCCCAAAGCAAAACCTCCGAAATGGCACCCTCCTCTGGCTCAGCCGCACCCACAGCCAAACAC